TTTGTTTACGTTAATGATGCTTTCATCGTATGAATTAACCATCCCTTGCTTTTTATGTATCTATGACATACATATATGTATGTATAATGAGTAGAGACTTATCTTGCTTTTAAATATTTCCGCAACACATTTTTTATTGATTCGTAAATAAACTATCAATTGTTCTATATCCGGAAAGATGTAAGTTGTCGGCAACCAGAATTTGCAGTCAAATCGTTTTTTCGAATAAGTTTAGTATGATTGGATAGAAGTCATTGAATTGCTCATAATAATGGGACTTTTAATTTTTCTAGACTATTTTTTCTATTGAAAAAGAAATCAAATAAAATATTTCACACTAAAAGTTGATATTTTCTGATACATGAAAAATTCAGCTACATTTTCATGTATTTAGCATTGCTTTTGTCTGTTCAAACTATTTTATTTGTAATTGTTAATCAGACTACATGATAAAAAACAATTTTGAACTAATCTGTGAAGTAAAATGATTAGGCAGTAAAGCCTTTCATGAGATAGATATTTCAACGATTCATTTTACTCTGTTATTAACAACATCTATAGACAAAAAAAAACTATGTATGGGTTTTGAACTAGGTCTTTTATTCGTTGAGAAATGAAACATTGTCATACATAGTCTACGAATCCTTGGAAGTTATCCTGATTTCGTCATTTTTTAGATTGTATTATCCAATGACAATTGAATATAAAGCAATTTCTAACCTTCGAAATGGATTGCGATTATTACTGTTGAATCAACAAGAAAAAGTTTTGGTATCTATTCTAAAAGTTTTGCCACAGAGTCACAAGAACAATTTCTGAAGATTTTTACCAAGTTTATTTTCTCTATAATTCTCTCCCCTACAAATGTTTCCTTTTACCCGTCTCTTCTGTCATGCACAACACAATCGTCCATCACATACAAGTACAATCAAATTGAGCAGCAACGATGCTTTTATTTCTTTTTCATATGTTTGAATTCTTTATGTTCATGTGCTATTGAAAACTAAACGGATTGTGATATTGAATGTGTTTTTAATCTCCTTTTTCCAGTACGTATTCAGTTAATGAGATATCACAGTAGAAAACTTTTGCAGCAACTTCTAGTTCTTATACTTGTAGACATTTTATACAAGCTAAAGCTATACTCCTCTTTTTTTCTCCTCTTTACACAAACTGTGGGTGAGCAGCCAGGGCAAATCGTATATCTGTCAAATTACTTATTCGATGAGGCGGGCACGACAGTTCGATTGCAGAATGACTCTTTAGCTTTCTCGTGGATTTCTAATAGATATTGTAATTTTTAGATTTTCTTAACTCCTTAACCATTAATTGAAGACTACAAATCCTTAACTCTATTTTCTTTGCAGGCACTGTGTCGACTCCAATGGCTATGTTTCGCTTGGTCAACTGTGTCATAATTCATATTCAGTGTATATCTACTTTTTAACTACTAATATATGTAAATTCATTGTTGCTATTCTAATAATCATGCTATTTTCAGGATAATTGCTACTTTTTCTTTAGCCTACCCTGATAGACGCATGTACACAATCTTTTACATGTATATAGATGTATTTTTCGTGGTAGTTAATGAATGTGAATTCACTTTATCAGGAGTACGAACTAAAATTGGATAAACATGTATGCACATGCAGATCTATGTATGTAACATGTACAACAGCAAAGGAAAAAACTCTCAAAAATTATATAATGTAGTTCATACAGAATCTCTCCACATTGACGTGACCTACATTTAATAAAAAATGATCAAGATATGAAAACTTGCAACTCATAGCAAAAATGCTTGTGTGACAAATTACATATATTGAATAAATTCTGGTAAATAAAGATATTAAATATCTATGAATTTATACAAGCTATTTGGCAAAAAGCGTGCTAGTTAGTTTCGAAAAAAACTTTAACAGTTAAAAGGTTAATGATAAATATAGTCTTATAACAGTTATTGTATATAACATATCTTATATACCATCCACCATGTAGATGGTCGAGTGACTAGACAGTGAGTCAGATATCGATAGAAGACTGATCCGCTCATTTCCGCTGTTCTACATTTAGAATGTCGACCTAATTACCTATGAAAAATTACATAGTTGTAGAAAGCTTTGTTCAAAATTTGACTGATGATCTTTTCTGCTGGTAAATCTACTCCTGACCTTCATTCTTTTGCATCTAGTTACAAATGATCTTCTTTATTCTATTCGAACTATCTATGTGGACAGAGTTCGCATTTTTTGATTTGTAATAGACATAGTTCAATGAATATTTGCAAAAAGAAAAATTTGAAGAAATAGTTTAAACAAAATATAAAATAGCTCATGATTCACTAAAGATATTATATCTATTCGGTATATGAACGTCCAGCTGAAGAAATATGATAAATACATGAAACAATAGCAAGTGCTTTATGATTGGTCGTTTGATATATCTGATGGGACTCTATCTGAGGTCAAAATGTCACAATCTTGACTGAGAAAATAGGGGTAAAATATATAGCGTCCTTGAATATATATATATATGTTTAATATTGATTGGATGTGTCATCAGGGTGTGGATATCCACCATATATAGAAAATACCATCACTTGGTCATAAAGAATGACTAAGAAATATTTATATTGTATATGTACATATGAATCATTTATATGTTTCTTTTAAGTCATTTTTAAATTTTAGATACGTAACATGAATCAAGTCATAGAGAAAAATTGATCTTCCGATGAAAAAAATCAGAGAAATTCCTGTAAGTAAATTCAATCGTAATCAAAAATCGTAAGTCATGAAAAGAAAAATCCATCTTATGATATTAGATTTTTATCTAGTATGTTGTCATTTTTCAATAATTTAAAAAAAAACAAAAACTTTCTAATTCTCGTCAAATTTCGAAGCAGAAAGCAGATGCAATGATGGTAAAAACTCTCCTAATAAGAAATTCGACAAAAATATCTCGAAAACTGATCCTGTATGTTGAGAATTCTCGAACAACAATTATCTTTTTTTTTGTTATGTCGCTGACGGATTCAGAATTTTTTAAAAATTCGCCATGATTGACGGTAACGGTTCAGCTGATCAGCTTGTCCTTCTAATCATCCCACATCGCTTAGTTATTCTTTCAACTTCAATCTCTGTACAACGTCTTTATTCATTAACTATCGTTATATACCGTGTTTCAATTAATTTAACTAATGTTTACTAGATCATTTTCACTTTACTAAAGTTTTATTTTTCACTTTTACTACTCGTTCTGATCATATTGATTGTGTTGATGCTCATTGTTGGAAAAGATTCATTTTGGAATATTTACCACAATTAGAAGAATTTTATTTCAAATATTATCAATATAATGATTATGAAAATCAATTTTTGATATACATTCGTGAACGAAATCGATTCTCCTCTTCATTTTGAATTCAACAAGTATTCGACCATATTGGTATAGATCAACAAAAGCTTTTACTCTCTTGAATAAATGATCATCTTTTCTTCATAGTACAATGTGGTATGAATCTGTTCAACTTACATTTCTATACAATCCACCTGATGATTTATGTATTACAAATTTATTATTTATAAATTCGTAAAGCACAACCTTTTCACATTATCTAAACTTCTGTCATTAACTGAATCCAAACATTCAGGAGTGATGAAATACATGTTGCTTAATTGGATATTAGATATGAATACAATTGGAAAAGTTCAATAAAATCAATGAAGTTTATATTTTGAATGAATTTTGTTTTTGTATAAACTATCTTCAAATAGATTGTATTAATAATATTGATGTGAAATTATTTTATACCAGATATTTTGAAGATAATCATTGCTCATTATGTTTCTGTGTTCCAACAACAAATAATAAAATGGTTAAAAACATTGGAAAGAATGATCAATATGAATTGAGACTACTTTTGGATTTTACAATTAACTGTGTAATTGATGAAATTGATTTTCAATGGAAATGATGTTAAATAGAACCAATGATTCATAGAAGATATTCTGTAAAGATGTACACATTCAATTCGAATCGGATCCATTGATAAAAAATTTGCTAATTTTCTATTTGACATATGTCGAACACTCAATTTATTTAGCAACATCTCTGACGATCGGTGAGAGAGAGGGAGCTCGGTTCAATGTTTTATCCTTCCTATACTTCAACCATCCTTGTAGTTCGTGTTTTACAAAAATTTTCAAATCTTATTACTTCATCAACTCTAATTAGTCTGTTTCATTAATAAAAACATTAAACATTTTTTCTAGATCATATTAAATCTTCAATTAAAGAGATGAACAAAGATAAACGAAAATTAAATACTAATCAATCTTCACAAGTAACAACGAAGAAAAAAAGAAGTAAGATATATTCATAGATTTTAAATTGAGAATGATTTCTATTCTTCTAATATTAGATGAAATTGATCAAACAGTAATGTCAATTGAAAATTTGTCTAATGAAATATTCTATGAAATCTTCGATTATCTTGATGGCTGTAATATTTATCAAATATTTGCGAATCTTAATTCTCGTTTTGAAAAACTTCTCAATTCATCATCTCTTCTATTCAAAATCAAAATTCGTCCAACATTGAAAGAAAGATTTATTAAAAACTATAAAGAAATTATTCTTTTTCATAAGAATCAAATCCTATCCATACATTTCTCATCAGTAGTATATCATCAAATGATCTCATTACTAAACATTGATTGTTCATTTAATCGTCTTGAATCTCTTGTTTTTGATTCAATTCAACCGTTTATTTTAACTCCACTTCTTTCCAAATTAATTCATTTACCTCGATTTTTTTCCTTAACTATTGACACTCAAAAAACTTTACACAATTTAATCCATGTGTATCGATTAATATTTGATTTACCAAAATTACAATATCTCAGATTCTTTGCAATGGAAACCAATGATACTAGTATAACTGTTTCCTTACCAATTAATATTAATAATCAATTCAGTACAATCAAACATCTTGTTATTGATCATCCATGTGCATTTAACGAACTTTTTTCAATTATTTCTTATACACCACAAATAACTCGTTTGAGTTTTATACATAAAGCGTATAGTACATTTAAAACTGACATAATTTCACCGATCATATTATCAAATTTAACACATTTATCTATCTATGGCGATCATCTTCAATTCGATAAAGTTCAAATGTTTATTACAAAAATCGATGCAAAATTAAAAGTTTTATCTGTTAAAAGTCTTGCTAAAGATATAACTTATCTTAATGCGAATTGTTGGAAAGAATTAATTATGAACAATTTTCCTCAATTAGAAGAATTTCATTTAACATTTTTGATATTTTTAGAATCTATTCACAGAACTTCATTGTATATTAATAAATTAAATACATTCAATTCATTATTTTGGATTGAACGACAATGGTTATTACAAGCTGAAATCAGTCTTGATACAATTATTTATTCAGTTCATCCATTTAAGTATAGAAAGAAAAGTTTTAACATCTAAAATGTGACTTTTTATTTATTTTTTTCTTAGAAAAAGATGGTATGAATATCAGTCACAAGATCAGACGATTCATCCATCGAATGAACTTTTGAAATCGATGCGAATTCTTTTTACAATTATTCCTTATTATGATAACATGAAGCCATTAAAACAAATTATTTCTCATATATCAAATGTAGCAGATATATATCATTTGGAAATTGATGAAGAAATTTATACGGATACATTGATGGAAATATTAGTTTTATTACCTGAACTTGATTCACTAAAGATTTCTTCTTTGTTATATTCAAATCCAATCTATATAAATGGTAAAGATAGCAATGTTCTTTGTTTGTTAACATCTTTAAATCAGATTACAAAAGTTTATCTCATGAAAATGACAAAAATGGAAGAAATTGATTTTCTTATTGAACTTTGTCCTCAGATGATATATCTGAAAGTAGAGTTTTTGCATCATATCAATATTCAATTGTTTGTACGAGTGATTTTAACGAAAATTAATATGAAATTTAATCATAAACTTCGATTATTATGTGCTCGTGTTAAGGCAGTAGATAATGACATTATTGAAAAATTAAACAGCATGATCAATTCGGAAAATTTGTTGACAGATTATACAATTAAACGCATAACTGATGATATTTATCTACAATGGAAATGATTTTCGTGTTTGTTATTATATAAATATGTTAAATAAACTTCAAATTTATTTACTCTTTTTTCTCTCAACTCACTTTAAACAAAGTTTTTACTCTGTTAAGAGAGGGTACACCAGAATACCAAGCAACCTAGCTGGAGAAAAATTTTTTTTATTTCGGATTCAATTATCTTAAAAGGAAGGTCTTATAGTGATATTACTAAATCCAAAATATTAGATTGACCTGACAATCCATCGCTAAATTATGAGATATACTATGATTGCAGGCCTTTTGATAGTAAAAGCAAAAATGATCAGGTTTTCGTACTTTTTAATATAGCATAAAATAACCCCATTATTTCAACCGTTCATATAATAATGACTTTAGCGAAAAGAAAGAGCATGTCTTCTTCTGTCGGACCATGTATTACTCGACTTTCCACAAAAACCATTAAATGAAAAAAAAGAGCCAACAATGTATTTTTTTTACTGGAAAATTGAAGTATTTTTTCACGTTTCTTAAAAGTATTTCGACGCATGTGATACAAAATTGGGGCGGCACCATAAATTGTATGACACCAACAGAAAGCCCTTGACAAACTGCATCTTTTAGCATAAAAACATCCGACAAAAAACACTAGGAGCTCATTCAATTTTTTTGAACAAAGAGCACAACTAAACACTTTTTATGCTGATTCTACTTTATTTTCGTCAATTTGAGTGTGAGTGAATGTGGGTGTGGGATGGCTCTTTTTATCCACCACACCCACACACCCGCATTGTTCGGTTCACAACTTTTCAAACCGAAATCGGTTTCGGTTCGGTTCGGTTTTAAAAAAACACGAACCGAGCCCATCAAAAAACAGTTTTTCGATGCAGTTCTCAGCTTATTTTAAATTTATTCATGCTAAAAGATCGATAATTACTCATATATTTGATTAAAAACAGCACATAAATTTAGTAAGGTCAATTTTAGATATTTTCCTGCTAATATGACAAAACGTCTTTGTATGGCAATATTTTACCGAGAAAATCTTTTCGGACCGTTCGAGAGATTTATGGAACAATAGGAATCCTCATGCTCGAGATATATAGAGAGATATTCACGAGAACTTTCAATCAAATTGTAGTATACAATCATATGATTTTTATAAAACTCTGATAATATCATATTTTGTAGTATTCGAAGACCGTTACTGAAGGATGCGAACACCGTGACTTATCTATAGTGTTTTTGTTATAGTTACCAGCCACTTCGATCTGAATATTTCATCCTCTGGCGGAGGCAGCTGGTTTGCACCGGTTTCTAAGAGTGTTGAACCGTCTGAAAAGATTTTCTCGGTGAAATATTGACAACGAACACGTTTTGCCACATTAGTAGGAAAATATCTAAAATTGACCTTACTAAATTTATGTGCTGTTTTTAATCAAATATATGAGTAATTATCGATTTTTTAGCATGAACTTGTAGCCCAACTCGTGATTCTTTATTGCTCAAATGATGAGTTCATTTGCTTATGTAACGGAGACTCTAGAATCTTGACAAGTTCCCAATAGTGATCGATGCGCCATTTCCGTTTAGTAAAGTGTTTGCTTCTTAAACTTTCAGAAAACGATTGCCATCTATGGGGGAATATCTCTTGAAAATCTCAGATCGATTCATCAAACTCTAGCTGGGTTATTAACCTCTCAATGGCATTCTATTGTTCTTGTGTATTTCCATGGTTTCAGTAAAAATGGTCCAGTTCATCAACAACTTGATAGACTTCGATAAAATTTATATCAGAAATAGCTATAATGATGAGCTACAAAATGGGAGATTGGCCGACTCAAAAGATCTTTCTATTCTCGAGTTACGAGATTCACAATGATTGTGGACGGGACGTATTATAATTCAGTTCTAGCTTGAGAAATTTTGGCGCTGAGGGTATCGATGATCACAATTCTCTGTGGACTACCTGGACACCAATTTTCAGATGTTTAGCTCTCATAGGATCTAAGATCCGAGGGGGGGGGGGAATACTTTTGGCCAGTAGTGTATATAAAACATAAAGAAACTTATTCAATAATACTTGATTATACCCAATTGACTATTCAAGCAAGATATATTCATATCTACAATCCAACATTTGTTTTATTGACGATTAATTAGCTGTTAACGAATAAATACAACTAGATTTTATTAAACTGAATGTTATCATAATCTCATTTAGTATTTAGAAAAGGTTCATATATGACAATAATAATTGTGGGATTGTTCCTGTGCTAATAGATCGATATAGAATCGTTCATCCTTATTCAAATAATGAGTAATATCTTGAGTAAGTTTTAAATCATTTTCTGAAATCTATGATTTAGCTTAAGAAGTAAAATCATACAGGAAAAATTTACTACAAATTTCATATATAAACAAGAAAGAAACAAGATGATCAAATAATTGAAGAGTATAAACGATGTTCATTGTAAATCTTATTTGATAAGTGTTCTTCCTAATGACTAACAAATTTGTTTTGACTAATGAAACAAACTTAATTCATATATCTACATATTGATTAGGATTAAATCTAAATGAACTATTTAAAAATAAATTATTTTGTTTACTTTCGAAACAAACCAATCAAGATCATATTTAGCAATATTAGCAAAATAGACTGTATTTTTTGCCCAAATATCTTTCCAATTTTCTCGATTAATATCAAGTTTTCGTTTTATAAGTCTTTTCATCATGGTTGCATTTTCTTTTGAAACTTTTAATAATTCTTGTCGAGGTTTTCCTTGATTAAGACTAATAAATAATATATTTAAAAAAACCTTTGTAATTCATATTCATGACGATTATCAGCAGATCCAATTGTTTTCATAATATGTGCCATTTTTTCTAATACTATAAGATTATCATGTTCAATTATTGCTGTACGTTCTTCTTCTAGCTTAAATTATAAATATAAATAAATGTCAATAACAAAAAAAAAACAACGAAAAGCTAATGTCTACTTGAAGTTTTTTTTGTTTCATATAAAGATGTAAATAAGTTTGTGGAGGATGTGCATTAATGCATGGTTGAGCATCAAGTACCTAATAAATATATCAACAAATTACTTATTTCATTAATAACAAATGTTCGATGATCATTATAATATTTATCGTCCCATTTCTTTTTAAGAAATCTATTCGATTGCTGGGCATATTGGTTGATATGATTTATGCATTAATTCTCTTTTTTATTATATAATTAAAATAAATCTATTCCACTAATTAATATAAACAGATTCAATTTATAAAAATTTATAGATAAATATGGAATTTCACCATAATGTTAACAGTAACTTTGATAACATGTTAGTTAATCATATATGAAATATGGAAAACATTTAAAATATAATCGAACGATAGATGACTCAACATCTCAGTTAAAGTTTTCTTTAGGCATTGAATATGATAACAACATATTTTATTCCATTATTATCATAATAACAACAAGATCCTTTTTACTCATTATTCATTATATATGTTGAACATAGTTCGATCATAAATAGATATATAAATAATTATTTTTGAATTATTCATGAAGCAAATTAACTGATGTATTTACATTAATTATTTATATAAGATGACAAATTATACGAATTTCAATAGAGAACAACAAGTGATCAAGACAATAACATCATCTTAAACGGTTATCATCGATTTATTGTTCACCTTCATACTACATCGAGATCTAGTAGAAATTTTTGATTGATTTTTTCAAACAGTGCTTAGTGTTATTCATAGACTGATTATTACACTAACCCTCCCCCGTTATTTTTTGGGTGGTCTTCTATTGAGGTGAACTTTTTGATCAGTTATTAATTAAAATATAAAAAAAAAAATTAATAATTAATTATACTTAATTAATAGCTTTAATTAATGTTTTTTGGGCATTTTTCAGGGAAAAACTGCGGTTTTTGTAAATAAATATGTCACGTATAGTAAAATTCGAAGCGATTTCTCAAGAAAACAGTAGATAAACGGCACTATTTGACTAATTATTAATTAATATTTTCGAAAAATTCAGTATTTTTTTAATTGATTAATTAATTCGTGCATGGCCTTCTAATAGGGCCGATGAACTTTTGTTCAGACATGACCTTCTAATATAGGGTGGCCGTCTATTTTTTGGGGGGGGGGGGGGGGTTATACTACTATGAAGGAAAAGTCTGAGTTAAAACTTGTTGTTTTTTCTTTGTAGATACATGAAAAAAAATCAAACGTTTTACTCGGACTTTTAATTCATAAGACTATAGTAAGCGTGTGTGTAGTTTTACGGTTGATATTGTAACCCTTAGAGTTGGTTTACGTTTGATTGGGCATGGA